CGGTATGTACTCACCAATAGAAACGAAGTTTACATATAGGCTTCCTCGGCACCACAGGATGTGCAAAAGTCATCTTTCTTTTTCAGTAGTGTGTTTATAATTAGAAGCTATACTTGCTAACCTAATTTGTTGTAGTAATAATTTATCCTACCTAAATTAATTACAGATATAAATTTTATTTTATTTAATTTTATGTGGAAAATTGCCATTCTTAATAGTAAGTATTCCTTTGATCTACAGTGTTTCTAACTAAAAAGACTTGGGCCGGAAGTAAGTCAATGTATGATGTTTTTAGGAAGTCTGTAACAATAGGTTGTACTGCGAGCCGTGTAATTTTATAGTATAGTTCTGAGCTGGTCACTCCAATCCTATTGACAGCTTGAAAAATCAGTTCATCTCGGCTTATTGACTACCTTAAAACTGAGTTGCAAACACACTGTACGTGTGGGTGAAAAATCTACCGTGGATGTAGTATCGTGTTTCCGTCTCCTTCAAGTCTACTGCCCACAGATCACGAGAAAATCCCTGCTGGGAGAAGTCGTTTCTGGTCGGTGCGGGGGGAATGTTTACTGCCTGGTGTACTAGAGGGCTGCTATTGGTGGGAAGTGTGACACGCCAGAGAGTTATGCTACTACACAGACTGAAAACATCAAGTAGTTGAGATTAGCGTGTATTTGAGTGCGTCTGTACTGTGTTCTGTGGGTGTTGTGATAATATTCTATTTTTAATCACAGGTGATTTAAAGATGTCAAGTGTACGTGTACAGGTGAAAACTATTCACAGGGAAGCGCGGGAAGTAATATCCAGCGTAGTGAAGCTGTGTGATGAGGAAGCAAGACGGAAAAAGCTAAAATTTCCCTTGACTCGTGCAACAGACAGGGCAGCCAAATACGCGGGTGTATCTAAGGCTTTAATTAAGAAGGTAAGGCGAGAGTCAAAAGATAGAGACGAGAGGGTCACACTGTCACCTTTACACACGGCAGGGAAACACCGGCCTAGACCTACTGACAGGAATGTCACCATTGACTCCTTTGCAATGTCAGTGATAAGGCGGACTGTGCAAGAATTTTACGCAATACAGAAGAAAGTACCAAGCCGCCCCAAGCTACTGCCCATAATTAAACAAAAAATTGACTTTCCATGGGGTGTTGATTCTCTACGGAATATTTTACATAACTTAGGGTTTAAGTGGTAGAAATGTCTAAGTAAGCGAAAGATCTTGATTGAAAGGCCGGACATAGTAAACTGGCGAGGGAGGTATTTAGTGAATATTAAGACGCTTCGCAATGAAGGAAGACAAATATTCTACCTAGATGAAAGCTGGGTAGACAGCAATTTAACTTTCAAAAAGTTAAAGGGGTATGCTCTGATGGAAATGCTGGAAAAAGACTGATTATGGTTCACGCTGGATCGCGTGCTGGTTTCCTTCAAGGTGCGAGACTGATATATAAAGCTGGCTCGGCAAGTGGCGACTAACATGGTCAGATGAACAGTACAAGTTTTGAAAAGTGGGTCAGAGAGAAAATGTTACAGAATTTTCCCCCCAATTCAGTGGTAGTACTTGATAACGTTCCATACCACAGTGTACAAGCAGATAAAGCCCCATCAAAATATTCGATTAAATCTGAAATGATCTCATGGTTACAGCGGCACGGAGTTTTCTGTGATCCAGCCATGAAAAAAGGCCAACTGACAAGGAAACCAAAAGAAAAAAATTTCAAAATTGATCAGTTACTAAACGCCCATGGTCACATTGTAGTTAGGTTGCCTCCATATATGTGTGACCTTAGCCCAATAGAACTAGCATGGTCTAAGGTAAAAAACTA